CTCCGTCGCCCGTTTTTCTCACTTGAAAGCCAATGTTGACCACCCTAAGGCCACTTTTTCCAGCCCTAAACCACATATTTGTGTTGTACACACCTGGGAGGCCACAAATATCATATGGCCGGCCAGTAATTGTGTGTGACCCTTTTGAGCCCCTCCTAAAAGTGGCCTTTTCTCTCTCCTGGTTCACTTTCTCCAGTTTTTAACCACATGGTTATGTTGTGCACACATGGGAGGCCACCAATCTGGGGTGGCCGGCCACTAAAACTTCTTGACCCTTTTGACCCTTGGCCGGCCGGCCATGGGGAAGGCCGACCGGCCACCTGCAACTCCAATAAGCAGCCGGCCTTGCTCCTCTCTCCTGGTACATCACAAATATGTGTTCTGTTTCCCCCCAGATTGTGTATCCGGGGGGCTGCACTTTTTGGGGGAAACTTGAATTCCTTTCCCCCCTATTTTTTTCCCCCTTTTTCTCCACTCTTTTGCCTATATAACAGCACCTCCAGCTCCCATCTGAGGGGTTACAAATTTTTCTCTAAGCCTCCTATATTGTATCTCTCTCTCCCTACACTCCAACCCCCAAAATCCTTCAAATCCTACACCATTTTACACTACACCACCTAGCACCACACCACCACCATCCATTCCAGCCACTTGGAGCTGTTTTCCAGAGCTAAGGAGCCACCAAACTTGGTCCAAGAGTTGTCAATGACTTGGTCTTCAAGGGTAAGTCTCCTCCTCCCTCTTTCTTGCCTTATTTTGCTCAATATATTAGCCATACTTGCTTACATATTTGGGCTCCGGTCCTAACTAAAAATAGCATTTTTTTGAGCTCCTTTTCATGTTTGTTTAAGGGTGTCTCCCTGTTTGAGGCTTCTTTTTAACACTTGCTTCTTTACCTCTCTTGTATGCCCCTTTCTTGCATAGTATTTTAGGCTCATTTGTAAACTGTTTTGAGCTTGGTTATAAACTGTGAAGTGGCTTATTTTGAGCCCTTCTTCAACATTGTTGAAGGGCTCTTCACTATTTGAGCCTTCCTTTTGTCACTTGCCTCTTTATCCTTCTTTTGGCCTTATTTTTGCATGTTTTGTTACCCCCTTGTTCTTGTATTTTTGGGCTCTGGTCCGAACTGTAAATAGCCTGATTTTGACCCCTTCTTCATGTTTAATCAAGGGACTTTTGCTTTTTGAAGCTCCCTTTTTGCTCTTTGTGTTTAAACCTCTTTTTAGGCCTTATTTTGCATAGTATTTTAAGCTTGCATGTGCACTGTTTTGGGTTTGATCATAAACTGTAAAATACCATGTTTTGGGCCCCTATTCAACTTTGTTGAAGGGCCCTCCTATGTTTTAGACCAGAAACCATCACTTGCTTCTTTGTTTCCCTTTTGGCTCATTTCTTGCACAATGTTTTAGGCCTGTTTGTGTTCAGATCCGTGGCTTGTTGTAAACTGTAAAGTACTTAATTTTGAGCCCCTCTTCAACTTTGTTGAAGGGCTCTTGGCCATTTAGGGCCCGCAGCTGTTACTTGCTTCATTACCTCTCTTACGGGGCCATTTTTGCATGCTAGCTTAGTCCTATTTGCGTCCATTGTTTGGCCTTTCTTAAAACTGTAAATATGCTTGTTTTGGGACTGTTTTGATTCTTCCTTCACACTTCATTTTCAAATAATGCATGCTTTGTATAGCTATAGGCCATTGCGTATGCCTAGTTTTGCGTTTCGAGTTTCATTTCATGCATCGGGTACCATATTGCCATGTTTCGGGGCTGTTTTGCATCATATTTTGGTACTGAAATTTGCATGCTAGTATGCCATATTCCATGCCTTGCCATGCTTTGGTAGAGTGGCATTCGTGCCTTAGGTTCGGTCCTCGATTTGCATGCATGTGTGCACGCATTTCGAGTGTCTCATTTTTCATCTCATGGCCTCTTATGTGAGTGTGGCTGAGGTCCACTCATATTGGTGTAAGTCCATTGTGCATTGTGTATGCCATTCCATATCATAGCATTCCGTATGCTAGGTTGTATGTTAGAGCATTGTGTATGCCATGTTACCTCGTGCATCGTGTATGCCATTTTATAGCATTGTGCATGCTAGGTTGTATATTAGTTGCATTCATGCATGTCATGCATATTGCATTGTGTTTGGGATAGGAGTTAGCCCGAGCACGGGAAACGACGGACGTTTCGTACTTCGAGTGACGGAACGTGTCTCAATTCCCAGTCACCGACACTCCGGATTATCCACGATGGAGTTTAGGTTTTATTGTGATTATATGTGCATTCATTTCATATTGAGTCGTGCAATTCGACTCCTCGACCATCATGCATCGATATGCGTGATTGGTGGCACGAGGACCAAGGACTACACTCCCTGAAGAGTAGTCATGCATGTATATGTGAAAATACTTTGCCATGCCCCTTCCTTACTCTCTGTTGCAGCAAATCAGAAATCGACAGCCTTCCGGAGCTTAGCACGCATTCCAAAAACAATTACAAACAGAGGCAAACCGGGGCATCGCGAGGGATTCTCCGCACAAGGCAACCCGAGCATGCATCATTCATCATCCGGAGCAGATTTGAGGCAGTCCTTGGCTTGCATGCCAATTTATTGCTTTCCTAATTTAATTTGTTAATTAATTAGGGTTTTGTAATTATTTGGACTGTAATTATTCATTCGGGACTGTATATTATTTATTCGGACCCTCCGAGTGAGGGCAATAACCAGCACCCTCAGCTGTGTTTTCAGGGTTACAAAAATTGGTTCTAAGCCTCTTGCATTCAATCCCTCTTTCCTTCTGTTCCAAACATCAAAACCCTTTTGTTCTTGGACCATTCCTACACCCTTTACTCTACAACCCATAGCACCCCTCCTCCTCACTCCATTCCATCAGCTTGAAGGCCATTTCCAGATCTTAAGAGTCCCCAAACTTGGTCCAAAGGCTGTCAAAGATTGGTTCTTCATGGGTAAGTCTTCTTTTTCTCTTTTGTTGCTTTATTTTTATCTATATTCTAGCCCCTTGTTCTTGCATACTTGGGCTCTGATCCTAACTGAAAATAGTCTTATCTGAAGCTCTATTTCATGTTTGATTAAGGGCTTCTCCCTATTTGAGGCTACTTTTTTACACATTGTGTTAAAAACCTCTTTTAGGCCTCTTTCTTGCATAGTATTTTAGCAAGCTTTCCACTTGGGTAATATTGAAGGAGAAGCAAGGTATCTACTGCTACCATCCTGCCTAGACGTGCTTGTCTTTTCCATCTTTGATGGTACCTTGTCATCAGAAATACAAGCTTTACTTTTATTACGGCATTTAGAGTTAAATGCTTTCAGACCTCTGTGTAAGGACCCCCGAAAAAGCTCCAAACAACTTAAGCAAAGGTTATATGAACAATGGCCACAGCTTCTATGGAAATCCACCACTGATGTTTGGCAGTTATTGCTGCTCCATAAGTCAAATCATGCAACATAGAAAACACAAGGAAATTACATAAACTTTCTCAATTACATAAAAACTTTCCAGCAGTATAAACATACCAGAAGTGTAGCTTTGTGCAACTAAATTCAGCCTGCTGAACCTGGACTTCAGATATTTTTTTCCCTGTTGAGGATTAAGTCCACGTGCTCAAACTCAAATATAATGTGCAAAACCAGCAAGAAGCATAGTTGTCTGAAATTCTAGAGCAAATCATCACCTATACCTTTTATTTTTGCTTCTAACTCCAGCTCAATGCTCTGATCTCGATTTATTCGTTCAAGCACAGGCAAAAGCATATATATTAGGTAATGCAATTGTTGAACTTTGTCAACCTTCTTTTCATCATTCCTAAAATGATCCTGAAACAATGTTGTATATAGATAGAATAATCAGCATCCAGTATTCAAAGAAGCAAACCATGATTCACAATTAAAACAACTCTGATATCAAACCTTGTGTTCATCTTCTTTAGATTGATTTTTCAAGCATGCTTTACAGCTGCAAGTTTTACAACAAACTGGACAGGCCATTTTAATTTGGTCTTGCATGCCAGGAAACCTATATTCATTTAGATGGAAAAAGTTACTATACAAAAGGGCTTTTTATCCACAACGCAAGTTATTCAGTGCTAAAAAGATAAGACATATTTATAATGCTAAGATGCATGTAAATGTGACTTGTCACTCTGCTACTTGTTTCTAATAAACTATTAGGAGATTTTAAGGGAGAGAGAGAGAGAGAGATTACTCTCTTGAAACAAAGATTCTCAAAAGAGAGCATAAGACTCTGCAGGTTTAATATATATATATATATATTTTTGTGTATGTGTGTGTGTACATTTGAAACTCCTAATTTTGTTCATGAGTTTTTTAATTTGGTCGGTCTTACTCATTCAACATCTTACTGGCATTGTGCAAAGCTTTTACTGCCCAAGCATTTACTCTCTTAGAGTTCACTAAACTTCGTGGTTAGAGAAAGAACTAGAATAAGTTCATTAGATTTGATGTTGGCTAAAGTGCTGGTAAAGGGTCTCTAATTTTCTAGCCTAACGCCATCATCAATGCCGATGTCGAAGTTGTCAGATTAAGGGCTTGACACTTACTGTCCCAATCTTTGTGACTTAGTCCTATCCTATATTACCTAGAGGCTAGAACATGGATCGTTCCAGTGCATGGAACAGGAATAGGAGCAGGAACGCAGTATGCTACATGTTCTGAATTGCGGTACGATAGGGGCAGACTTGTATAATTTACAAATACACGAATTTAAGTCTACAGTAAATTTTATTTTAATGGGGAGAGTAGTACAAGAGAAGGACAATGAGTCTACCAAAAGAAAAGAAAAAACAAAAGGCAAAGCAAATTGAAGTTCAAACTACAAATCATACAACAATCTCTAAAATAAAAAAAGGAGGAATCTCTTTGAATGGAGAAGAAACGGAAGCCCAAAGAGATGCCAAATGGCACACTTTATTCCATAACGACTCAATGTCCTTGAACTTATCCTCAAAAACCCTAGCTTTCCAACCGCATAACCCCAAAAAATAAGAATGTTACACAATTCCACAATGCTTTTGATTTCTCATTTATTCACAAGTAGCTGGAGCCACCCAACAAATATCCACTAATTGAAAAAGGCGATTGCATAAGACCGAAACCAAAGGGCAATGCAAGTGCAAGAATAGATAATCCAAAGATTCCTTATTCCTCTTACACATGATACACCATTGAGGGTGAAGGTTGTGATTAGGTTTCCTTTCTTGAAACATGTCATTAGTCATGATACTTCTATGAGGCTTTTTATTTTTTTTCCCAAACTAATCATGTGCCAACGAAGGGGAATACACATCTCAAATCAAGGAGGCCATCACCACAACCACCGAAAGCCATGGGCGGGCAAATTATACTGCCATCATCATTACAAGCTTTCCACTTGGGTAATATTGAAGGAGAAGCAAGGTATCTACTGCTACCATCCTGCCTAGACGTGCTTGTCTTTTCCATCTTTGATGGTACCTTGTCATCAGAAATACAAGCTTTACTTTTATTACGGCATTTAGAGTTAAATGCTTTCAGACCTCTGTGTAAGGACCCCCGAAAAAGCTCCAAACAACTTAAGCAAAGGTTATATGAACAATGGCCACAGCTTCTATGGAAATCCACCACTGATGTTTGGCAGTTATTGCTGCTCCATAAGTCAAATCATGCAACATAGAAAACACAAGGAAATTACATAAACTTTCTCAATTACATAAAAACTTTCCAGCAGTATAAACATACCAGAAGTGTAGCTTTGTGCAACTAAATTCAGCCTGCTGAACCTGGACTTCAGATATTTTTTTCCCTGTTGAGGATTAAGTCCACGTGCTCAAACTCAAATATAATGTGCAAAACCAGCAAGAAGAATAGTTGTCTGAAATTCTAGAGCAAATCATCACCTATACCTTTTATTTTTGCTTCTAACTCCAGCTCAATGCTCTGATCTCGATTTATTCGTTCAAGCACAGGCAAAAGCATATATATTAGGTAATGCAATTGTTGAACTTTGTCAACCTTCTTTTCATCATTCCTAAAATGATCCTGAAACAATGTTGTATATAGATAGAATAATCAGCATCCAGTATTCAAAGAAGCAAACCATGATTCACAATTAAAACAACTCTGATATCAAACCTTGTGTTCATCTTCTTTAGATTGATTTTTCAAGCATGCTTTACAGCTGCAAGTTTTACAACAAACTGGACAGGCCATTTTAATTTGGTCTTGCATGCCAGGAAACCTATATTCATTTAGATGGAAAAAGTTACTATACAAAAGGGCTTTTTATCCACAACGCAAGTTATTCAGTGCTAAAAAGATAAGACATATTTATAATGCTAAGATGCATGTAAATGTGACTTGTCACTCTGCTACTTGTTTCTAATAAACTATTAGGAGATTTTAAGGGAGAGAGAGAGAGAGAGATTACTCTCTTGAAACAAAGATTCTCAAAAGAGAGCATAAGACTCTGCAGGTTTAATATATATATATATATATTTTTGTGTATGTGTGTGTGTACATTTGAAACTCCTAATTTTGTTCATGAGTTTTTTAATTTGGTCGGTCTTACTCATTCAACATCTTACTGGCATTGTGCAAAGCTTTTACTGCCCAAGCATTTACTCTCTTAGAGTTCACTAAACTTCGTGGTTAGTGAAAGAACTAGAATAAGTTCATTCGATTTGATGTTGGCTAAAGCGCTGGTAAAGGGTCTCTAATTTTCTAGCCTAACGCCATCATCAATGCCGATGTCGAAGTTGTCAGATTAAGGGCTTGACACTTACTGTCCCAATCTTTGTGACTTAGTCCTATCCTATATTACCTAGAGGCTAGAACATGGATCGTTCCAGTGCATGGAACAGGAATAGGAGCAGGAACGCAGTATGCTACATGTTCTGAATTGCGGTACGATAGGGGCAGACTTGTATAATTTACAAATACACGAATTTAAGTCTACAGTAAATTTTATTTTAATGGGGAGAGTAGTACAAGAGAAGGACAATGAGTCTACCAAAAGAAAAGAAAAAACAAAAGGCAAAGCAAATTGAAGTTCAAACTACAAATCATACAACAATCTCTAAAATAAAAAAAGGAGGAATCTCTTTGAATGGAGAAGAAACGGAAGCCCAAAGAGATGCCAAATGGCACACTTTATTCCATAACGACTCAATGTCCTTGAACTTATCCTCAAAAACCCTAGCTTTCCAACCGCATAACCCCAAAAAATAAGAATGTTACACAATTCCACAATGCTTTTGATTTCTCATTTATTCACAAGTAGCTGGAGCCACCCAACAAATATCCACTAATTGAAAAAGGCGATTGCATAAGACCGAAACCAAAGGGCAATGCAAGTGCAAGAATAGATAATCCAAAGATTCCTTATTCCTCTTACACATGATACACCATTGAGGGTGAAGGTTGTGATTAGGTTTCCTTTCTTGAAACATGTCATTAGTCATGATACTTCTATGAGGCTTTTTATTTTTTTTCCCAAACTAATCATGTGCCAACACATATCTAAGACCATTATGACCCATTGTTTATGTTTGCTAGGGTATTAGTGTTCTTTGGTAACACTGGTCCTATCTTTGTTTCGATGTTTAAGCATGTCACTTTGGTATATGTTATGCACCACCTTTGCAATTGATTGAAATCCTATAACAGATGAGCCCTCATTTGCATCATATATCCAGCTAAGTAGGATTCTGTATCACACACAAGATGGCCCTTAATAAGTTCTCGTTAATACAATGCCCTAACTTCGAATTAGAGGCGGAAGAAAAGAAAAATTATTCACTTTAACATAACATCTGTGAGAGCATATTGAGACAAAGACACTGAGCATACATACTGAGACAAAGAAACAATCACTAAAAGCAATTAAAACGAACCGTTCTGTGATACAATCCATGCAAAAGAACTCCTTTTTGCAACTGTGGCATTTAATAAGAACCCGGTAACTACTTTTTTGACACCAATGACATTTCTTCTTCTTTGCTTTCTTCAATTTAGCCGCGTTTCGAGAGTATGGCATAATCTAAGTGATAAAACAAACAGTTGATAAAAAAAAACAGCATATTCAAGCAAAACAAATACAGATTGTTAATGTGTTGCAAGAAAACAACCTGCATTGTACTAATTGGAATTGGCTCAATGTTTTTTGATCGAAAGCACCTCCGCAGTATAGAACTCGACTCAATTCCCAATTTCACATTGCAAGAAGCACTGGCATTGTGATTTTGATATGACAAAGGCGGCGAAATGGACATTACTCCATAAGGCAACTCTTTCGTGACCTCTGTCTCACTCTCTCTATTCTTCCTCAATTCTCTCTCTTTCTTCTTCTCCACTTGCCTTTTCAAAAAAACCCTAATCAATTCCAACTGCAAATCACCTCTCTTCAACTTCATCTTCCTCAGAGCCTCATCCAACGCCTCCGAAACATCCACATTCTTGCTTTTCTTCACCGGTCTCGAATCGCAATCTTTGTCCCTCTTTCGTGCCCTAATTTTCTGATTCTGAGGCTCCGATTCCTCCTGATTTCGCGATTTCGATTTCTTTCTCTTGAGTTTGAGCGATTCAGGGACTACCTCTTTGTTCTGACGATGACGACCTTGAATATGGTGAATCTCGCAGAGCTTCTTGTTCTCCATGACTCGCCGATAGCACCGCCATTGACGACCGTCGGTTCTCTTGCAGCGAAGATGGTCCGGCAGAGGCCCATCTTCCTCCATCGGGGTTCTATTTTCCCGGAAAGCAGACTTCTTTTTCTCGGAAAATTGGTGGAAACTGAGAAAGTGATGTGCAAGAAAAGGCTGTTTGGTTCTGTGAGAAAAAAAGGGCAGTCTATCTAGGGTTTTGGATGGGTATTTATTGAGAGGGCAATTGTGTCTTGGATGCTTCAAAATGGTCACAACTGGCATCTAATATTACAACGGAATTAATTTTTGGAAGAATCATTAATTTGATCAAGATTGGTCCAGTGACTATATGTATGTATGTATATATATAGACAGATTTCATAGCAGTTTGTATGTGCTCATTCTGTGATTTTCAGATTTGGGTTTTGATTTTTGGTGTGCAATTTACAGTACATGAGTCTCTAGAAGGAAAATGTTTTCTGTCAAAACAAACACGCCCTTTTGATTTATTATTTTTGTTTACAGATTGAAAGCTAGATTGATTGATGTATTTCAGCAGTTTATATGTGCATAATCTGTGCTTCTCAGATTTTTGTTCTGATTTTTGGTTATCAATTTACATTATGTGAGGTTTCGGAATTGAAATATTTTTTTGTCGAAATAAACCAAGGTCGTGTTTTCGTAGTTGATTTTTTTGCTTGCAGATTGAAAGCCAGATTGATTGATGTAGTTGTTGCCAACTTACTGGTTAAGATTGGAATAGCTGACATGTAACAAAAAAAAAAAAAGCAGAAAATGTGAAAGTAGTCAATAAAGTATAGAGTTGCATTGATTCATAATGTATATGAGTTATGACAGCTAGTAGTAGATGTCACAAGACTGCAAAATGTGGTTATGAATGGTGTGGTTTTTATTTTTTTTATCATAATTACACACGGGTATTTTTATTTGAAAATTCGAGTACTTAAAGTCGAAGCAACTACTTTAGAAATAAACGAAAGAAAAACAACAACTATAGTGGAAGAGTCACAATTGAGTTTCTAATCTAAATTGATCATGCTTCACAAGAAAGAGAATTCGTTCTGTTTTGGCGGGGATAAATGAAAGTGTCATGGTTTGGCATTTTCAATTTTTCTTTTTTTTACGTTACGGACACAATACCTATTTTGATGTGTCCGTGCTTCCTAAGAAAGAGTCAAGATTGAACACATTTTGACGTGTCTGTGCATTTCAGGAAGGAGCCAAGATTGAACACGTTTAGCAGAAAATCATCATTTTATGGTGGTGATGTTAAGATATGCTTGTCTGTGCATGTATGGCTAATTTGTTCTGCCATATGTTTGCTAGAGAAGAATTAAACATGTGTATATCAGTAGTTGAAGCAAACCATCATTGTACAAAATTTTGCAGATACTATATTTCTTTTCTATGAAAGCTCACTTAATTGATTAATGTGACTTTACATAAATATAAAAGATGAAGAAAAAACATCAAAGCACTCAAATGTTGCCGGTTGGGTACCATCTAGGATATGAAACGTGCCATCAATTTTTCCTACTCATACTACAGGTATAACCATACTATCGCTAACAAAAGTAGTATATGTATGGTTTTAGAGATCAACAATACTACATGCACAAAAATCATTTACAAAATCAACCATAGGCTTGTGCTGTATTTCTATCATTTTCATGCCGAGTAAAAAAACGTGACGACTCCACAAGTTTTGTCAAATTCTGTTAAAAAAATTTTTTGTGCAATTTGCTGGAAGCAGTTTGGAGGAAAATGCAAGAGGCAGGGGCCTAATACTGCTGCACATTCATTAGGAATGGTGCAATACTATAATGTGTTATATATTTAACCACTGGAAAACTGTTACAAAAGTTTGTGAATTCCTTCAACCGCCTCTTTCCTTCTGTCTGTAGCCCCGGAAAATACAATATGAAGATTGAAAAAAGAAAAAAAAAAGTTGAGACGGTGATATAAAACTTGCTAAATGCTTTTTGTAATGCTAGCCCAATTTGATCTTGTAACTAAGACGACAGTAACATCCTTAATAGCAAATACATAAAAATGATAGAATATTATGTGGGTAAATTATGCCGTGAAAACGGTGTTAAATATAAACTAAATGACATGGTGTTACAGAGTTACAACAATATGGTTATCACTACTTTCTTAGCTATAATTACATTTTTGGAAGCTTAGTTGTACTAGAGATGTCGTTTTGTTTTATCAACAAATGGAGCTTTGTGAAAAAAAACTCCAATAAAGATGATTACTTGTGGAGTTTTTTTTTTTTATTTAAAATACTACGAAAACAATGCTGAAAAGCACAATTATGGATGATTTTTACGTATCTTTTGCAAAAATTCCATTATAAAAAAAAGATGTGAAAATTTATTTTTTGTCATCGTGTGCACCTTCTGTTCATATCTCAGATTTCATTGTTGTGGAGTATATATTTCTTTTCTTGGATGATCATCAGACTAATGCAATTCTGCATATGTGAATTTCGAATTTGAGAGGTACCCAAAAAAAAAAAAGGTAGGTAGAAGGAGCCTCATCATACTTATGCTCTTGATAAAAATGCAACAATGTTACCTATTCATAATTCAATAAAGTGCTTAAAATTTGAAATGTGTGAATCAAATTAATTATGTGTTACGTAAGTTTAAATCACATCATATTTTCAATATGTTTTCTGAGTATATGGTATTTTTTAATAAAAATAACAACAAAAGCATGGTTGATTGCAGTATTGGTGCAATCCAAGAGACCACAAAGAAATCAAGAAACAAATGAACAATCAGATTTCTCTGAGTGGGACTCCAAATGATTCTGCAATCTGGGTCAATAATCCCCTGTGCATTTACTATGTCAAAAACAAGATTGTGCAATTGAGGTACATTGATTTGAATTCATCTGTACTACTGGAAAAAAGCATTTTTGAGTCAGCAGAATGCTGTTGCAAAAAAATAATTATGGCATCTCAAAAGATTTTAGCGATGGCATGGTGACCACTAGATGAGGGACAGAATTAATGTGGTTGATAAATGAATTTTGAAATGGCACGTGTATGCCATTGGCGATTATTAGAGACGGAAAATTAGACTATTTGAGGCAGAATGTTATTGATACACAAAATGAAAAAGTTGGTATTTTTTTAACGACTGTATTATTAGTATTGCTAAAATTCTTATTGCATCAATATGTTGCTGTAGTGAAAATTTTTGTTGAGTTGGTAAAGTACCATCGCTCAAAAAAATAGTGTCAATGAAATTGTTTCTTTGAGTCAGTAACGGTGATGTTTGAGAGTGTTTTTTTCTATCATAAAAAATAAAAATATTAATTATTTGCACCAAGGTTGCACATTTTTTTTTCTTGCAATGATTTTGTATCTTAAAAATCCACAAATCCTCTATTTTGCATCCCATATATTCACATTCTAACAAATTATATCAATACATATTCATTCACATCCAAATCTAATATTAATAAAAATACACATCCATCCATCATCCATTCATTCACGTTAAAAAATATTAACAAAAATTTGTTTTATCAATGCAAACCAAGTTTTTATTTGATTTTCACATTTGATTTTATTTTTTATTTTTATTTTTCATATTTTCAGAAACAAAAACAAAGAAAAATTCAAAAAGAATTTTTCATTTTGTTTAGATCAGTTACGAAGAATTTGAACTACTAATAGATGTAAGAAAAACTGTCAATGTTCCATTTTTTCCAACTGCAATTTAATCATTTGATTGACGGTATTTACATGAATCCAATTAAGAAAACAATCTGCATACATACCATGCAATTACGTTTAAAAAAAAAGAGATCAAATATTAATAAAAATACACATCCATCCATCATCCATTCATTCACGTTAAAAAATATTAACAAAAATTTGTTTTATCAATGCAAACCAAGTTTTTATTTGATTTTCACATTTGATTTTATTTTTTATTTTTATTTTTCATATTTTCCAGAAACAAAAACAAAAAAAATTCAAAAAGAATTTTTCATTTTGTTTAGATCAGTTACAAAGAATTTGAACTACTAATAGATGTAAGAAAGACTGTCAATGTTCCATTTTTTCCAACTGCAATTTAATCATTTTTTTTTTTTGATCGGCAAAAAAAGAAACTTTATTGATGAAATAAACAAGTACAAGGTACAAGACATGTTACATCAATAAAGGAAAGGGGAGTGCAAAAGCATGAGCTAAATGATCCCAACTAAGTTGGCACCATCGAGCACACCCTATCATTTGCTAACACCCCGAGTTGGTGAGAGACCAACGGAAAAAAAAAAAAGGAAAAAGAACCAAACCAAACAACCGAAGCTAGCATTAACTTGACCATCAATGAATAATACTGCAATTTAATCATTTGATTGACGGTATTTACATGAATCCAATTAAGAAAACAATCTGCATACATGCCATGCAATTACATTTAAAAAAAAAGAGATGCCCATTATTGACTTTTCCGGACGGGGCTTTAGCGACGATTCCGGTGACAAATTAATTCCATACCGAATAGTATTTGGGGACGGAAAATAATGGGTTTAGCGCAAAAAATAATTGGTTCCTAAGAGTCTTATATGTTGTAGTGATCTCCAAACACCGCTTCATCATGCAAAATGGATACAACTTCAAACGTTGGACTTTCCCGCCAAATTTGAGGCCTATCCAAATGATGCGCAATTTGCGCGAGTTTATCAGCATTTCTGTTTCCTTCTCTATAAACATGAGTCACAACGAAATTATTTAACACCGGTACATTGAATTTATGTAACTAACATGTCTTTGTGTTTCTTCACATTTCACAACTCTCTTTGGCACAATTATTTGAACTAAATTCATGGAATTGCCTTCTAGCCATACATCGTTCCACCCATTTTCAAGTACCAACTCAAGGCCTCTTCACAACGCTGCAAATTCTGCAGCAGTCCTTGTGGTTCTGCCAATGGATTCTGCATAACCAATCAAGGATTCGGGATAATTCTATTTCCACATACTAATTCCTCTCAGTATACACTTAATGAACACTTTCTCAATACACACATTATAAAAATATAAATTGTCAGTATACATCTCTATATTTCAATATTACTCTCATTTTCAATTTAAAAACCCTAAAGCTACGTTTGGTTTCAATTTTTGAATCAATTTTTTGAAATTTTTATGAGAAAAATATAAATTAATTTAACAAAAATAAATACCAAAAAAATATTTTTTAATTTTTTTTGCCCCTAAAAAGATGAAACCATATTGAAATGAGAATTTTTTTTTTTTTTTTTTTTTGAAAACATATTGTAAAACTATACCAAACAAAGTCTAATTTTTTATTTTTTATTTTTTCATTCATAACCCTCCATCCCCACTACCATCGCAACTTCTAGCTTATCTCCCTCCATCCTAGACCTCTACAGTCAACATTGAGTGATTCATGGTAAGAGACTTGTGAGAATGTATGGTTTATGGCGGGAAGTGATCGCAGGCGAATAACAAAAGAATGAACGGGAGGAAATTGCGGATGAGAGAGGTGGCGTTAGTGGTAGAGGATAGTTGTGGCGTTTTAGAAATAGAGTTTGAGTAGAAGAAGATGAGGGTATTATGGTATTTTTATTTTCGGACAAAATTATATTAATGAAAATTTTCATTAAGTGTATGAACTGAGTGAAATTAGTGTGTGAAAATAGAATTATCCTCGAATTCGGCCTTGTGCTTCATAAAAAGCCCTCCAATGCTTGATTTCCTGGTTTTGCCCTTGCAAGAACCATCAAAGTTCAGCTTAGTCCAACCAATTTCGGGTTTTTGCCATGCCACTTGACATCTCATAATGTTACAAATTGTCAACATCTTGTTTCCTCAAGTTTGAACTTTTAGTCGACCACTATTTTTTTTAAATTGAAAAATTGATTGACAAAGTAGTGACATTTGTGGGAAAAATATGATTTTGGGTTTTATTTATTTATTTGTTAAAACATATATATTTATTAAGTTTTAAAACAGAAAGTATTTATGTATGTTAAAATGAGGCTTTTGTATACAGAGAAGAGTTTCAGAATGTTCTTATGGTTACCAATTAAAGTAAAAAGATACTTGTCATTTCTCACTTTTTTTTTTATATTTTTTAATTTTTTTAAACATTTTGTTAATTACCAAACGCGTTTGTAGTTTATGTTTTTCTAAAAATAAACAAAAATCAGTTTATAAAATTTTTGTAAATATAAACTGAAAACGTAAACGTTACCAAACACACCAAAAGTATTGATGTATGTTAAAATGAGGCTTTTGTACATACAGAGAAGAGTTTAAGAATGTTCTTATGGTTACCCATTAAAGTAAAAAGATAAAACAAAATGAAATGTATCGAAAAATTGGACGTGAGAAGAAAAAATATACAGAGAAGACACTCGCACCATGAGAAAATTTCTAAGCAAAACAGCGAATTAAGACAATTTTTTTGTTTTTGTTTTCCAATGATCATATAAAGTACTACACCTTCATTTGCTTTTATACTCAGAATTTCAGAATTTCACACCAACAAGCAATGTTTGGATACCAAGCAAATTAAAAATGGTTGAGAAAATTCTTTTGAAGAACTGACGTATGAGTTTTTTGAAAGCATATGCATGAGAACTGCACGAATATATAGAGAGGGGTTTGCTTGACAAAAGTATTTCATCGCATTGGCCATTGACATCTTTTAACTGTCAAAATAACCACTTTCATTCCAAGAAACACTGAACACTAATTTAAATTTGAAAACTAAATAAATTTGTTTTTGTCCACAGAAGTGGTGGTTTAACCAAGAATATAGGGATCGATTCATAACACTATTGAGGTTATAGACTGGAGGATGACAATCATATAACAAACTAAGGCCTTGTTTGGAAATTGATTTACTTAATTGATTTTTTTTGACTTTTTTATAAAGTGAAAAAAAAGTTAATATATTTAGAAATTATTTTTTTAGTTGTATCGAAAACCATAAATTACTAAGATGTTTGAATTTTTTTTTTAAAATATTTTTTTTGACATTTTTAAAAACTTTTTGATTATTTTAATGACAAAACTAAGTTGCCAAACAGTGGACTAAATTACCTGATAATTATACAGAAAAAGATATCCAGACAAATAAAATGACAAAAAAACCTACATGTAGTAGGGGAGAGATTACCTTAACAGTGGATCAAACTCTTAGTTATTTTTTGTTCTCTCGATTTACATATTCTAAGTTTTTTGTGAATTTGTTTTTCTGTTATTGATCATGACTTAGTGACTAAACAGATAATATTGATAGTTCAAGGATGAAAAAAAAATGACAATAATTTCATGGGATAAAATGAAATTTACGATTAATAAAATAGAGTTTAGAGGAATTTTTTTTTCATGGACTGTAACATTGAAGCCCTGGTTGTGAATTTTTCTCATTGACAGTCACTACCTCTACCATTTAGAGGAATTTTTTTTTCATGGACTGTAACATTGAAGCCCTGGTTGTGAATTTTTCTCATTGACAGTCACTACCTCTACCATTGAAAACAGGGCCGGCCCTGAGTTCGTCGGGGCCTAAGGCGAATTTTGGAAATTAGAGCCCTTTTATATTGAAAAAAAATTCATGAATAAAACGGTAAGTTATAATTTTTTTATTTGTTTGTAACCATAAAAAAATTTACTTACACATATAATTATTAAAATTATAAATAAAACAATTTAATAAAACAAAATTAGAACAAAAAAATTAGGAAACAATTATTCAATTAAAATTGATAAAGACCGAGTTAAAAAATTTGAGCAAAATTATTTATTTCACTAAAATCTAATAGATAAAGAAGGTAAAAATAAAAATAAAAAAAATAGGGCCCATATATTGTATGTATTATTTTTCTTGAGCCCAAACACTTTTTTTTTAATATATATTTTCATTTTAATAAATATGGACCAAACTACACTTATAAATAAATATGGAGTAAATCATACATGGACCTAAAAAAATATTTTGAGGCCCTTTAAATTGATCCTAAAACCAAAAAAAAAAAAAAACACATTGAGCCTATAATATTTTACCAAATTTAGGGGCCCTATTTTTGGGCCAAATTTAAGGGCCCTATGTTATATATGTTTATATGTTTTACCAAATTTAGGGGCCCTATTGTTTTTTATTTATATATTTTCATTTTAATAAATATGGGCCAAACACATTTAAAAATAAATATGGGCTAAATTATACATGGGCCCAATAAAACATTTGGGATCCTTTAAATTGATCTTAAAACCAAAAAAAAAAAGGTTGAACCTATAACAATTTTTTAAATTTGGGAGCCCTAGTTTTAAGCCAAAATATGGGGCCTAAGGCACAAGCCTTACCTGCCTTAGGACAGGGCCGGCCCTGATTGAAAAGGTGGTATTTTCGTTATTCATATATAATTGGACATCAAACAAAGGATCTAAAAAAATGTTTCCCGCAAAGAGTCTCCATAAGTAGGCAACAAAAAATGGAAAAAGAACTATAGAAAGTCTTTTAAGCCATTGTACCAGATTTGTCATAAAATTGAGATTCTTTCGGTTCCTTCCTTATCACAGAGGGCCCCCTTAGGGAGCGGGGCTTATTGAGAAAGTCATCCGCCATGCTCCTTTTTCATATCCAATTTGTAGAACTCGGAACAATCAAGTATGAAGAACTATCTTTCTTCATCAAGAATAAGAGTTATTAGGTGCCTTGTTAACCATCATAACCTTTGATTACTACCAATAAGCCACAAACAATCAAGAGCTACACCTGAAACTATACCGCCAAGAAGACATAACACTAGCAAATTACCTAATGCGTTTTTCTCAGGACCCTACAAAGTCAAGACCTCAATGATTATTTCTTAGAACAAATATTTGAATTCAACAATGATCTCCTGTGCAAATTATAAGCCAAACACGACACCACCTTCCTTTTGCGTGAGTTAATAATCTAACTTATTAGTGAGTATTTTAGTCAAATAAACTACAAAACAATATTATCCTTTGGTATACGTGGAAAAGCCCAAATAAATAAACCTACTTTTTCGTGACCCTACAAAGTCAAGACCTCAATGATTATTTCTTAGAACAAATATTTGAATTCAACAATGATCTCCTGTGCAAATTATAAGCCAAACACGACACCACCTTCCTTTTGCGTGAGTTAATAATCTAACTTATTAGTGAGTATTTTAGTCAAACAACAATGATTCATCCCCCTTTTCTCCCCACCCCCTTTGACCCCCTCTCTCTCTCATTGGTTACAATTTCTTTTTCTTTTTTTTCCTGCTCCTCCAATCACCACCCGCCATGTGGCAAAGGGGGTGAGGGGGTGACCCCCACAAGGGGGTCCCAAGCATTATTCTTTAGTCAAATAAACTACAAAACAATATTATCCTTTGGTAGCCCAAATAAATAAACCTACTTTTTCGTTGAAAGTGAAAAGTCCATATCTATTTTTCATTATAATGCATTACTAGTGTTAATATTCGGGTTTTCATTTTTGTCTTAACTTTTTAGAAAGTCTAATTACTTTGTGATCTTTTTTGATGACTAAACTGGCTTCACTTGGTTATATCTCATGCATAGTCAAACTGAGTTATCCAAAATTTACTTAGGACATTCCCTTGTTTCTTGGCGTAACAATAATCAATTTGTCACAACTAGGCCAAGTACTGAGATCGAATATAGTTCATTTATTTATATTACTCAAGAGTTTCTTTGGCTATGATGGTTACTTGAAGATATGTGTTGCACATTCATTTGCTAGAGTACTTTGTTGTAACAATTAGTACTATTCAGATTGCTCACAACGATGTCTTCCATAATCGCACCAAACATATTGAGATTGACCATTATTTTGTGTGAAAAAAATGTTACTTGTGATATTGTTCAACTTATCTCAGTCTCCTTATCTGATCAGACTATTGACATTTTTATCAAGGCACATCCACTTGGATGGTTTCACATTTTAGTCTCCAAACCGAAATCGGTATCTTCTCTACCCCATTGAATTTGAGACGGGATGTTAACGTATATATACGGGTTTTCATTTTTGTCTTATTTCCTTGTACAACACTTCATTGCTGCGTATATATGTAGGGAATTCCATTGTATAGAATATTAAAGGTAGTACCTCATACTATTCTTTTTTCCTCTTTGTATCTTTTTTCCTATAAAGGGCAAATTGGTCATTTTATATTTAAAAGTTAAAAAAAATTCCAAGGTTAGCAAAGGGATCCATGTGTTCGATAGTCATTGATTTTTTTGATGAGGGGCCATTGGCACCACTTTAACCAATGACTGTTGAACACGTGAGTCATGCTTGGCTTATAATTTGCTTATAAAACACTACTCCACATTAAAGACTGATTTTATAAACCAACCTTGTAACCTTTTGGAGCTTCTGTGAAGACACAGACAGTAAGATAACCACTTGTTAGTCCTAAGAAGGATGTGAGCATTATCATCTGTCCCGCACCACCATACTTTGCAGTGAAGTAGAATGCAGGTATGAGCAAGAAAGGAGACAGTGTTGCAATCATTGGTCCCTTTCGAGATTTTATCTTGACGCTTTCCCATAGAGGAATGCATCTTGACATCAGATTCCATACATTGTACATTGCTAACAACACTAGTGCATACCTGAAATGATTATCGGGCATTGTGAATCAATTTATGATTATTTAGATTAGTGCAATTGTAGAAAGTGTTTACTCACCCAAAAAAAGTGTAGAAAGTGTTATTGCCACAACTATACGTTGATCAGTAAAGTGTGCTAAATTTTTTTTTATGTTTTTTTTGAACGGCGAAGCAAACGATCTTTATTGATGAAACATACGACGTATGACAAAATACATCAATAAAGAGGAGTTTGAAACTAACACAAGCTTCAAGCTCCAGTTGGCAAGGAGCCAACAAGAAACAGAAAAAGAACGAAAGGTGGAAGTTGAGCAAGAAGTTAAAATGGGAATGGCTATAAAAATCTAGGCAGGATTGGAATATGAAAGGTGATAAAAATACAAGATTTTTCCATGTTATGGCTACTTGTAGGCAAAATAGAAATTCTCTCAATTCCATCACAGTGGGGGATACAATCTTTGAGGAACCAGCTCAAGTTAAAAAAGAAGTGTGGTCTTTCTTCTCCAATCATTTCTCCGAAGCTTGGAAGCATAGACCGATTCTTGTTGGAGATTTCAAGAGTGTAAGGTTTAGCGACCATTTTCATTTGCTTGAGGCAGAGTTCTCTGAAGAAGAAGTCTGGGCAGCTGTAGCTGATTGTAATGGGAACAATGCTCCTGGGCAGGATGGCTTTAACCTGCTGTTTTTTTAAAAGTTTTGGAAGATGCTTAAGGTGGAGGTGCTCAACTTTATGAAGGACTTTCACACCAGCGGCAGATTACCAACATGCTATAACAGTACTTTCATCACACTGATTCCAAAGAAAGAGAAAGCTGTCACCTTAACTGAGTATAGGCCTATAAGCCTTATTGGTTCTGTGTACAAAATTCTATCTAAAGTCCTTGCATCCAGACTCAAAAAAGTTATGCCTGCGGTCATTGGTGACTCACAATCAGCTTTCCTGGGAGGTAGGAACATTTTGGACGGAGTTTTGGATGCTAATGAAGTTGTAGATAGCTGGCTTAAATCAAGAAAATCTGGACTGCTGTTAAAACTGGGTTTCGAAAAGGCCTTTGACTCTGTCAATTGGGATTTTCTTCTCTCAATGTTAACTAATTTTGGTTTTGGCCTTAAATGGACTTCATGGATCAAGGAATGTATCTCTACTTCAAGAATTTCAATCCTTGTAAATGGCTCTCCAACTAAGGAATTTTATCCTCAAAAAGGCCTCAGACATGGTGACCCTCTATCCCCCTTCCTTTTCAATTTGGTTGTTGAAGCTCTAAACATTCTCCTCCACAAAGCTCGGGAATTGACTTTTGATTATGAAATATTGGAAACATTTGGCATTTGGTAACATTTACAATTTATTGTTATTTGCTTACAAAAAAATATTAAATATATTTATGTTTGTTTCTCATGAAAACGAAAAGAAAAAAAAAATGTTTTGAAAACAAATGAGTTGAGGTGAGGTGGGATTGTCAAAGGTGGTTGCCAGACTCAGGAAGTGGGTGACTCATTGGAGGTGGTTTCCAAAAGATAGGTTGGTGGCCAGTGGTCATGGGCGATGGTTGGAGGAAGTCACTGATGGCAAACATTATTGCTTTTCACTAGAATGTAGTAAATTAAGTTATACATATATATTTATTTAAAAATGAAAATAAATAGCGAACGAGTTTATGTTTGCAGTTTTGAATTTTTATAAATATGAACAGAAAATTGTAAATAACATTTATAAATTACCACTTACCATGAGCCTAAATGGTGGTGTGATCCAGTGTTTTCGGAGACAAACCCAGGAAAGACTACAAAAGTCAGGACATATGTCAAATACAAATCCAGTGCATAATCTATATTCTGAGTGAACAATTGCTTGTTGCTAAATCTCTCTTGTTCATCATCATCTTCAACCTGCGTAGAATACAAAAGCCAATTTAAAGTTTGAACTTTTTGTTTTTTTAAATCAAAGTTGAGTTGTTTCAAAACTTATTTCTTAGATAGGAGTTTGTTTTGAATTTACTTTTCAAACTCAATTTCTTTTTGTTTTTTTGAAGTTACTATTTTCAAAACATGACTTTAGACTACAAGATGTGTTTTGAAAACAGGACTTAAATATTTTTAATTAAAAGTTAATTAAATAAATTACACGATTGATTGCTCTAGTTTTTGTAAATCTAATTTACTTTCAATTGCATTTCAATGTGATCCCTCTATTTGATGCTGTTAGCATTTTAGATGGAAAAATAATAAGTTCGAAACTTTTGGGACCAAAGTGAAATTCAAAATAAACTATAGGGATCATTGGTATAATTTATTATTATTTTTTCTTGGGCAGGGGTTGCTAAAATTCCCATGTAGTCACAATTATTTATTTATTTATTTTGATCCAAAATGCTAACTGAAACTGACAGAAGGATCACAATGAATCTCAACTGATGAAGGACCACATTGAAGTGCAATTGCAAGTGGAGGGTTTAAATTGATGAAATTAAACCTACGAAAACGAAAGAGAAACTTTGCTCAAGGATCAACGGTGTATTTACCCAAGTTAATTGAAGTCGTGTAAACAGTACTTCAACCATAAAGTCGAGTTTTCAAAAAAAAACTACAAAAAACAAGGCTTGAGAAATAAATCCAAATTGTTTTTTATTATTTTTTTATTTTTTGGAAAACTTGATTTAAAATCTAAAAGAAGTAGGCACACTCCATGGGTTGGTGCTTCTATTCGGATGCCAGCAGCAGCAAGATCTGCCGTAACAGTTTTCGATGAATGCATATAGAAATATGCATAGAAACTCAAAGAATGTTGAGATTGCTAGAAACAACACTGCAAAAAAGACATATATCCCAAGTTTATACTTTTGAGGTGGGTGACTAAACTAAAACTAATTTTGAAGTGTAAGGATTAAACTGTTCAATTTAAAATTATAAGGATTAAAATAAAATTTGAGTCAAATTACAAAATTGAAAAATGTAATTAACTCCAAAAAGGATGTTTATAAGAGAGGGAAATATTTCATACTGGCTCCCTTGGAAAGGCTATTATCAGTTCTTTCAAAGGCTGCTTTTGTCATTAGTCTCAATGCTGATGTGAGAGCCCCTGATGCAGCCAAACCAGCTTGGAATGACTGCCAAAATTCATTACAAAAAATATTCATGTAGTAAGCAAACTTATTCTAAGAATTGAAAGGAAAAAAAAAAAAGTTGAGTAGTTATACTTTCACATTTGTGTGATTTCGCCAAAGTCTCACTTTGGATGTTTCGTTCTTAATTGTGATGATTAATCACTTACATTTGAAATCAAGTTGTAATGACACCCTTCCATCCAAAGACGAAGGGAAGAAGGGATTGGGTGGGGCACGTGCCCCTCCTCTCCTCAGATTTTTATAATTACACTAGTACCTATATATTTTAAAGGCCCTTTCTAATTGAAAAAAATTAAGACTCACAATTTAAGTCTCACAATGACATGTCAAGTAATGTATTAGCTTTTGATTTATTACAATCACATAAGAACTCTAAATTAAAAAATGACTCTTACTCTTTTCTTTGTTCTCTGTTTTTTTCTTCTTCTTATTTTTTCTTGTTGGGAAAATTAAACATGTGGTCCTTATAGATTGTTCACTCCAATTTGATTCTATAGTTTCAGTTACATCAATTTTATCTTTTATTTTTCACATTATGCCAATTTAATACAATTAGTAATGCCCATTAATAAATTAACACAAATTAAGAATAAAAAAATGATCTATTCACTCTCAAAGAGATTGAGGGATTAACATAGAATTTGAAATATGTAAACCATGTGTGTAATTTGCCTGCTAATAATGTTACAATAATCATACTTTTACACCGCATTTGAAGTACCATGTAAATTGTCACCACTAGATTGGTTGAATAAGTTTCATCACTTATATTTGTTTACAATGTAGTGTTAAAAACATAATGATAAACTCAATGTAGTATAAAAATGTGGTCATTATAATATTATTGTTTACACTTTCATTTCTTAGCAAAGTATTTTTTTGTAATAAATATTTATGTTTTGTGTTTATTATTAATTTAAAAAAATTCTATTATATTATTGTTGCTGATTATTAATTTTTTTTTTTATTTTAAATTTGTTATTAACAAGTGCCTCTCCTAAAATAATTTGTTAGCTCCACTACCACTTCCATCTATCTATTGTTAATGAGATGGACGGACCACTACAAAAAAATTAACTTTTTGCTAATGCTCCTAATGCCGTCGCTAATACTTTTTGCGACGGCAAAATGACTTTTTGCGACGGCAAGAGGGGGTCGCAAATGGAGGGGTTGCAAAAGAGTTTTTGCATGTTTTGCGACGGCATTTTGCCTTTTTGCGACGGCACTGTGAAGTCGCTAATAACGTTTGAAATTTCTTGACTTTTTTGCGACGACACTATTTTACCGTCGCTAAAAATGTTATTTGAGACAACAAAAAATACCGTCGCTAATAGTCTTTTTTTTCAACGGCAAAACACTATTTTTGCGACGGTGTTGTGTCGCCGCAAAAAGTATTAAAAAAATGAAATTTTCTTTTTTTACGACAGTGTAATACCGTCGCAAAAAGTATTAAAAAATAATAAAATTTCTATTTTAAATAATAAAATTTCTATTTTTTGCGACAATATAATGCCGTCGAAAAAAGTAAAACCTGTAACAAAATTAATAAAAATATTAAAATTTTATATTTTTTGCGACAGTGTAATGCCGTCACAAAAAAGAAAAAAAACATCCTACGATAAAAATATTAAAATTTCTCCATAATAATATAAAAATAACAATTTCTTCATAATAAAATATTTTTCCATTCATATAATTACACATCAACAAAATTATCCCACTACATAATGTTCCATAATACATATATAATGTTTAAATATATGATTTTGTTCATAATTCAAAATAACATAAACAAAATTTCATTACTAAAATAATAAAACAAATTGCATTTAAATTCTCACTTTCATAAATAAAATTGAGGTCTAGACAAGATGAGCCATTTACTTTGGGACTCATATTTTACATGCTGAGGATTCAAGTCATTGTGAAGGCATTATGACACACAAACCCTCCTTGCCTAACTGTCACTCCCTGTCCGGCCATTGCACTGCAAAATTGTGGGTCTCCATGCCAAAAAACGCTTCAAGGACACCTAGAATATGAAAGGCAATTTGATCAGCTGCAGCTATAACCGTGGTGGCCTTGTATAGAAATTTTTTAACAGAATCGGAAATGTTCTGTACAATGTTGAAGAGGGGATAGTGAAAATAAATTGCATAACTTTGGGCACTACAATGAAACTTCTTGGACACTTGCAACATATCACCTATGTAGTGCAAACATCTCTTAGTAGGACCCATGATCAACACTCTTGCGAGTGAGTCCAGTAAGCAAAAACATTCTTTACTTACAAGCCCTCATACAACCAAACCTCCAGAAAGCAAAAAAAAAAAACCATTAATTTGCACATATTCCATGTAATGAAAACAACAAAGAAAGAAATATTGACATATTTTCGAGATACCAAATTAGAATCCTCAACATACACAAGCAACCTGAGAAATAAATTTCATTGCAAATAAAGTTGTTTTGCCGATTTATAGACTAACAAGTATCCTTTAAGGAAATTTATTTATGATATTATTATAATAAATTTATTTGACATGTAAATAGTTATTATAATAAATTTACTTGACATGTAAACAGTTTTAACAATTCAATTTACTTACTTACATGGTTCTTGAGACAATTATGAGGATTCCCATAAGTTCGATTTAGAGCATCTGCAATGGCAGTTACAAAGCAAGCAGCAGAAAAGCCGCTAGTTTCTCGGTCATGAATACCATTCAACAAAAGTACCTATAAAGGAAGTAAATGCATTAATACAACATAACAATGTTGAAAACCCTACATAATAAGAGCCACAATAGGTGTTTAATAGCTAGAATCTTCGAATATAATTAATGTCATCCAAACATCAAAGGAATTAGGGGCCTCAACTGAATATTTTCAGCAGAGCCAATCACAAAGGAATTAGTAACTTCCTGAACTATCAACCAAATTTACAACAATTACTCGACAGACTCTTTTCTAGTCAAAGAGCATACACATGATGCCTTGATAGAAGATTACCTTGGGGCAAGACCTTGAAGCGATGATCTCCCCAATGCCAAGTAAAACCTATGTATGGAGAATGATCAGTACAAGATAGAAATTAAAAACTTTCTTTTGTTTTCCCAATTAACAAACCACTGATGACAACTGTTTCATATCAACAGAAAAAACAAGATTAGAGAACCATTACCCACGACAGTGATCAAAGTAAGGCAACAGAAAGAGTTCCAAGAACATATTTTCATTCAAATTTTAGATTAGTAGATAAGCTTAGATATACAATGCATAATTAGTACAGCAAATAATTTAAATAAGGTGAACATAAGAATATGTCTCTGTTTATTTATGGATTCCAAGTATCTTTATCAATAATAGTTCCGTTCAATTGATTAACTAATAGATGAACAAATTAAAACATGGAGTAGATAAGCCACCAAACCTCCAACATGTGATAGGAGTATGACATAGCAAGTAGCAACCATAGAGATTAAAAATCCTTTAAATGACTGACAAGTTTTTAATAAGAGAGCAAAGAAGCACTGTTCATGTATTTTCAGCTGCTTTAATAGCCCAAGACTCACGTTTCTATAATAACCCCATAATATTATAATATCGCAAAAAGATCTCTGTAATGGGCCTTGACAATGATCCTTTTGGTGACAAAACTGATTTGTATATCCACTTCACTTTTTTCTAGTTTTTCTTAGTAATACAAGCTTGCCTACTGAAAACAAAAAATAAATAACTAATTAAAATTGCAAAGACTATCCCGAAAAAGTTTCAGTTTGGTTGATAGTGTTACCAGAGATGGGCAGGTGGAAGTAAAAAGGGATCCCATAGCATAAATGATGCAGTCAATAGTCCTCAACTGATCCAGGACAATTGGGTTTACATTGGGAAAAACCTATTCAATAGAAAGCACAGACATTATTTAGACAGCAGACAAAATAAGTCATAGATATACTAACATGAACTTTTACAATGAAGTATTAATATCAAAGAATATGCAACTCAAAAGAAAATCTGTGGATTCTGATACACCACACTCTATTGCTGCTGTTCAATAAGTTCAGGGCTACACTGCAACATCTTAGACCAAATATGTAATACTGAAAAAATAAAAATTTCACTCCACTAGACATATACTCCACACTCTATTGCGGTTCAATAAGTTCAGGGCTATACTGCAACATCTTAGACCAAATATGTAATACTGAAAAAATAAAAATTTCACTCCACTAGACATTTCTGGTTCATCAAACTGCACTTGCTTTAAGCACAGGCCATAAGAAGGTAACCAAAGTATGTTTGCTCAGTACACATCAGAACTAGTGGAATAGGATCAATTGCCTTAGCATGCTGGCAAAGAAGGTGGGGTTTTGACATGAGGTTCTTAAACAAACAGAAGTTGTAAAACTATATGAGGATTAAAATGAAAGCTCAAAATTATAAATAAATAAATAAATCATTGAAACAAGAAAATCACGATAGTTGTAGCATATCACATAGCTTATTGTTCGAGAAAATATTTGTCACATAACCAACATAGTTCTCTAGGAAAAAGAAGAAAAATTAACTATCACATTACTTGACAGATTCAGTATTGGGCAGAAAAATTAACCATCACATTACTCATGGTGAGGGGAAAAGGATGATTTTCCAAAATATGACTTCTAATTTCTATGATATTCATATCTTACATAAAAGTGAAAACTTGGACTTTCAAAATATCCAACATGGTATTGATGTGTCGATCAATCCAACAAGGAATGCAACAAGAATATCCTTTGCAATTCATAGTGTACAAATGTAATCATAGTAAAATGACACTCATTCTCTTCATTTTTTTATTTTTTTTATTTTTCAATCATTGATTTCTCACACTGAATAAAATGAGTTCCAGACACATAGGACCTTTGTAGTATAGTAATGACTAATGGCAAGTATACAAGAATAGGTCTTTTTTGTTAAGTGAGGAATGAATATAA